TGGATCGGGCTTTCGCCCATTTGAAAAGGGTGGAGACCAACGGAAGAGGTGAACGGCTATGCCCGAGGTTACGTCTCGGGGTGAGGGAAAAACCTGGCCTGATTTAACAGCAGTGGATTTTGAAAACTAAAGCGCACACTAGAAAGTGGGTTCCTCACTGACATCCCTAAGATTGTTCACACCAATCATACTTTATTCCAAAACCGAACTGAATGAAATTCTAACATAGGTTTTTTTCTCGTTCCCTTTCGAACCATTTCTACGGTTAGGGAAGATTTAGAAAAACCCTTCCTAAGCCAGTTTTTCCTTATATCTCGTGCCTTGTTCAAAGGCACGATCTTCTCTGTCCCTTGATTTTTCAATTTGTCCGAATCCCCACTTTTCTCTTCGCCGTCACTACTAATTTTGAGAATATTTCTTTTTTTTCTTTGACAAAAAAGAAATCTCATTGGTCAAGTTTCCTAAAAAGAGGAGCTTAATCAACGTTTTTACTCCAGTGATGAAACTTCTATCTGCGGCTTATACCTTTACGCTCACGATCAGAATATCCACGTCTCAATCATCCAACAGATTAAGATAAAGAGATGGGGAATGTCTCGTGCTCCCAAATGATAGGGCAGTATTGCCAAGCACAAAATGCTAAAGATTTCTACCTTTGCAATTAAAACAAAACTAGAAGCTGGATTCTTCCAGCAAGGAGATAAATAGATACAAAACTAATAAATTCGAGGCCCAAATAAATTACTGGAGATGTTCCAATTTATCAATTAAAATTTTTTAAATTTCAAATATACCCTCCTATTTAAATAAAATAAAAGGAGAAAAAAATAAAAATCAAAAACAAATTGCAATCGTGCTCCCATTTTTCCATACTTAAGTGCCAGCTTAAGACAGTGACGTTCGGCTACGGCCAACGAATCCTATAAATTCCAAACTTATGCTGGAATAGATGCTGTGATTTCAAAGAATATCCCCATGCAAGTCTTTATCAAATTTTAGTAAACAAATTACTTAAGATTAAATTATGGTATTCAGAACCCGTTTAGCGTAGTGTTTAAGATAATTCTTTCATAATTAGCAGCTTTCCCTCCTGCTGAGTGCCTGCAAAACTACTCCAAGTTAAGTTGAAGAGAAGGGATTCTTACAACTGATGTAAGTCTCTTTTTAAGAATAAAAAAGAGTTGTGAATTCTTGCTAAAAAAATTGAAAAAAAAGTAGTGTAAGAGAAGGGCTTCTTACACATTTTTGGTCAAAATTCTTGCTAAAATATATTTTTCTAGCATTCCTTTTTCCATCTTTATTGTGAATTAATTCAACAGAGTTTCCCCAATGGTGGTGGCATCCTCTGTAGTCTCTCCACTCTGCACTTGGATAGTAGCAGCATGCATGTCTGTGGCAAGTGAAAAAACCCATATTTCCAAGTCATCACACAATTTACAGTGCTCAAAGAGGCTGAGTAGAAGAAAATTGGTGGCTCAGAGCAGCAATTATGGTGGGGGCTTGATGTCTTTTTTATATGGTTCTGTAAATCACAATCTGATGAATTTTTGCCCATCTTTTGAACCCTGTCAAGAGTACTATAATTCAGTGGGGATATCTTCTTCTTTGGCTTTGTTCGGTGAAAATGCATTCTCGGTTTTTGGGTCCAAGGCTTTGCCAGTGACTCGCAAACAAAGGAAGTTGAGTAAGGCTGCTTCTTCTGGTAATGAGTCATGTACCTTTTTTCTAATTTTGGTTTGTTTAGAGATTTTTCTATAGATTCTATGGATTGCATTTAAAGTGGAAAGTTCAGTTGAAAGACTTGCAATTTATTATTTGTGTGGAGTGGAATTGATGTCTAATAAATAGACAGTTAGGCTTAAAATTGGTCTCCAATGCTTCTATTTACAACCCAAAACTACTGCTCTTTTATCTACCGTAAAATAAAATTAAATGGAAGGGTAAATTTCAGAAACAACCTCTAAAGTTTAAGGTTTTCACCTGGCAAACTAGGCTCTCGGTGTGTGTTTCAGGCCTTGCACAGCCTTCTCAAGCTTGCAAACATGACTTGGTTGTTCTTTATCAACGAACCTCTAAGTTGGCTTAATAAACCTCTTCCGCAGAAACTTGAAATCCATCTATGAAGTCCCTTTGGAAATTAGGAACTGATAATTTATGACTGGGATTTAAGTTTAAGACATTTGAACACAAATCGAATTTTCTTTACTAATATCTTATTTAAAACTTTGGAATCATACAGAGACCACAAATTTATAGTTGAAGGTGTTAAGGGATAGAATCCCACATCGAATAAAGATGTAAACATAAACCAACTTATAAATGATTTGGTTACTTCTCTTAATAAGGTTGACCTTTTAAGATGGAACTCTAATTCTTAACAGAAGGCCCGGTCTCCATTTTGGTAATCTTATTTCTTGCAGTTTGATTCTGGCTAATGGAAGGACAAGAAGATTCAACTATTTTGTTCAGAAAGCCATAGTCTTGGAATGGGAACAGAGGTTTCACTAAACATGAAATTGACAAAATTGCATTCAGCTTTATGCTATCTTGTTATGATTTTGCCAAAATGTTTTATGCGTAATTAATGGCATGGAAATTTCATCACCTCTCCTTGGTGCTTGAGGTGTAATTGATGTGAGGAGGTAAGATGTGCCTGTACCGTGGAGTGGACAGTGTTTTTTCCTCGCAGATTTTGAGAAACAAGACTACGATATGTAGTGATAAATGTTAAGAGAAATTTCAACTGCTAAAAAATTGTTGTCAATGAATTAGAGCTTTAAGATAATGAAATAATGAGTAGATTTTGATCATCGTGTAGCCCTTAAACAATTATTCGTTATTGGATTTCACAGTCCCATTCCTATGTATTTTTGGAAGTTATTACCCGTCCAATTAGTTGAGGGCAATCCATTTTTTTTTGTCTAGGCAAAAGCATGGCTGTTTCTGTACAATCTGTGAAGGAAGGACCAACAACGAAACGACTTTTTACAAAGAAAAGGAGGGTAGTTGTTACAGGATTGGGTGTTGTATCCCCGCTTGGTCATGATGCCGATGAATACTACACTAATCTTCTTGAAGGTACTAGCGGGGTTAGTCAGATTGAGGCATTTGACTGTACTGAGTTTCCCACAGTAAATCTTCGTTCCTCTTATTTTAGTTACTGTTTCTTTTTCACGGGGGAAGTTATCTAGGTTCTGGATCTTGATGTATGGCTCGTTCATAACAGAGGATTGCAGGAGAAATCAAGAGTTTCTCGACTGATGGTTGGGTTGCGCCAAAACTATCGAAGAGGGCAGATAAATTCATGCTTTATTTGCTCACTGCTGGCAAGAAAGCTTTAGTAGACGGTGGAATAACAGAAGATGTCATGACAGAGTTAGATAAGGCTAAATGCGGAGTTATAATTGGCTCTGCTCTAGGTGGAATGAAGGTAACTTATCAACTCATAAGATGCAAGTGGTTGTTAGTTGAAGCATTTTTAGAACGTGTTTGGCTAAGCTTAAAAGAAGTAGAAGCTACTTTTAAGTAAATTTGATTAATGCAGCTGCTTTGTGTAAACTTTGATCAGGTTTTCAATGATGCTATAGAAGCTTTAAGAGAGTCTTACAGAAAGATGAATCCCTTCTGTGTTCCTTTTGCATCGACGAACATGGGCTCTGCAATTCTTGCTATGGATTTGGTAAATTAAATTATAAATGTCAAAATAAGCTATTGAAAATGGGGAAATTGTTCGTCTAATCCTGTAACTATGTTCTGATTGCTAAACTGCAGGGATGGATGGGTCCAAATTACTCAATTTCTACAGCTTGTGCTACTAGCAACTTTTGTATACTAAACGCCACGAATCATATTATAAGAGGCGAAACAGTAAGTTTCTATATTATCTCGTCTAAATGCCTTAACTTTGTTTCTGGTTTCGTTGTTTTTCTAAGATCATATTTTCCGAGGTTTCTCATTTCTGTTCTCAATGCCTGTGGCAGAATATGATGCTCTGTGGCGGGTCTGATGCAGCAATTATTCCCATAGGTTCGTTATAATTCAGTCAGGATGTGACTCTAGTTATCTATATCCTTTCTGCTCAATGACAATTACGAGTAATTGCAGGATTGGGAGGATTTGTTGCCTGCAGAGCCCTTTCACAGAGGAACGAGGATCCTACCAAAGCTTCTCGTCCTTGGGATATGGTATTGCATCACACTCAAGTCTTACTCACCATCTTGGATTTCTCATCCTTTATGCATTATATTGGTGAAAAAAGATGTCAAATTCACAATGTGTGCGAGGCACGGATATTTCTTACCATGTTTGGGGGAGCATATAGTCACACCTTTATATAATTCGTAAAAATCAAGAAAGGTCCTGGAGTAGAACCCATAATGATGACATGGTATTTTAACACGCTGTTATTTTTCTTTTAGACAAACTTACAGTCGACATTTCTTTCTATTTTGTGTCGGAACAGAATCGTGATGGATTTGTTATGGGAGAAGGAGCTGGTGTACTACTATTAGAAGAACTAGAGCATGCTAAGGTATGCCTCTAAGTTAACTAATATGCATGGATGTACATTCCATAAATTTCTTAGCGATAATCTCATTTTTTTAAGCTGAAGAATGTATTATTATGTTAGCGGAGAGGTGCAATTATATATGCAGAGGTTTTAGGTGGAAGCTTTACGTGCGATGCATATCATATGACTGAACCACGTCCAGATGGTAAGCATCCCATCCCAGAAGTTTCAGCATTTCGTCCAAGCGCCATGCTTGGAATTTACTACCTCATTTAGCTATATTATCAATGAAATGGGTAGCCAACTTATGGTTATTTTATCATTCATGCACTGGTTAAGTCGCGTCTTGGGAACATGATTGAGCTGGTTTTGCCTCTATTTTCTCATTTCAATATGATTTGAAAGATGCTTTGTTTATTGTCTCTGAGTTTCTTGGTTTTTGTTGATTATTTATGTTGATGCCAAGAATACTAGAACAAAACCTCACCGGGTGTCAAATTGTGGGTCTTGTAAGTGTCACAGTGTACCTGCAAAAGTAGAAGGATGATCATAGTAGACACTCTGATGCTTAACTCATTAATGTGGAATTAAATTGGGTTATAGTGTGTTACCTCGAAACAGTTGTATTTATACTCACGGAAGTGCCAATTAATGATCCTTACGTAAATTGCTTTAATTGAGATGTGTATAGGTTGATCATGTTGGAATTTAAGGGTATCTAAAAAGATTAAAATGTGTGAATCGGAAAAGTCTTCAATGGGTGTAACAATTGGGTGGGACTCTTCAGGTGCAAAAGGTGCGTAACGAAAAGTCATGACATTTTATTAAGGTGCAATCAATACCATTAATTGTGAAATGGTGCAATCTAATGGTTAAAATTAATTTTACCAAAAGATGCAACTGTTGGGAAGTGACGCATTGAAATCTATAAATAGGACGCTTCCAATTCCAATTTTCTTCACTCCAAATCAAATTCATATAATTGATTTCTAATTATTTTTCTCTCCAAATTATGTCAAAATAATTTCCAAATTATTTTGAGTTTCATGTTTGATATTCAATATTCGATATCTCTCGTTCTAAAAGAATACAGTCAAGCATTGGTTCCCCTGACAAAACTAATATTGTGTTATATTAATTTTGGAAGAAGTATTGTATACATAAGTCCATTTTATTCTTTTATCACTCGTTCAGGGGGCAAAATCAATCTTAAGGAAATTTGCATTCGCATACCTCTCTTCATTTAATTTCCTTCGTATTTATGCATTTTCTACGTTTGAGTAAGTCGTGATTTGCTTATTATCATGCATGTACCATGGTTTCGAAAATTCGTTATTCTATTCGTATTTGTATGCAAGTGTTTTTGTTAACATAATATAATTTATGCAACAATCTATCCAATAATCTTAAGACGGATTTTTGTGCATTTTATATTCTAATTTTTTTGTTTAGAATATGGAATTATGTATTTTGTTTTTCGTGAAAAATCAGCTTTGAAATTCTGGTAAGACATTTTTTTTCATAAATTGAGATTTACTGGAGTAATCCAAAAGTTTAAATATAAATTTATCTGTTATGTGATATCTGTATTTGCTTTTACACATTAGTCATTGAAATATATAAAAGAAAAAGGAACATGGCAACGGGTTATCCTTATTTATATGTATGTCTCTAAATATTTGAAGAATATTCGAAATGATAAACCATAGTGGATACCTTATTAAAATTAAAATATGCACGATGTTAAAAATTAGATATCCAATGTAAGGATTCAAAATTTATTAGTAAATATGTTTTACTATGAGAGTAGTTATTTCGTAGACATCCTCAATACAAGTTGAGAATTGAAAGAAATTAGAAGGAAGTATAATGACTTCAAAGATTTTGGATGGATTTCCTATTTGGTGACAACCTGTGCTTGTTATATGATTTAATCGAGATTTCTAGCTACAAATCACATGGCACCGAATATAGTATATAATGGTAAGTCTTAGCATCCGCCGTAAACATAATACTACTTGACAGTTGCTCACAAATTAAACAATACTGGTTGTTGAAGGATAACCTAACAAATCCGTTTATAAATGGGTTATCTAGAGAAAGAATTTACTATGGGTGTACAGCCTAAACTAATGGGTCGGCTTAATGGAAACCTAACCTGGCGTCTGGAGATCTCACGGACTAGGTTCAATAGGAAAATTAGTTATGATTGACTCGATAAGTAGTACTTTGGAGTTTTAACTCCTCCCTATTTCTATAATGCAAATAAGTGCTATCTACAAAAGATTGGTTTGGATAAGCTATACTTTTAATGATGATTATATCTTGTAAATAGTACAAGTGGAGTACTATAGGGTACTCTTTACAGAATATCACCTATGAAAGTGTGGACTTGGCCGATTCTATGAGAATTTTATTTAGGCAAATTCTCTAACGTACTTGCAGAATAAAGAAGGTTCAGGGCCGAAATAATTCACACAATAAAGAACCAAAGTTTGATATGAAAGATAATGTGTTCGTCCTATTGTTTAGGCTTACAATAATGGTCGGCAGTTCAAAACGTTTCTTTCATTAATTAGCTAGTAAATTCGATAGATTCTTACTAAGGAAAGATTCAAAGCGAGAGCTACCGATCCTGATGCATTATATTTCAGTTGTACTATTCTTTGTCTTCCTTATTCTAAATATTCTTCGTATAATCTTTTTCACATGCTCACTAACCATTTTGCTATGTGGCAGCTCCTCCAACTGCCACATGGCCAAGAGGATTTTGTTTGGTTCTGTTAAGGGGACAAGGAGTTTGTCATATTTTTCGATTGGGAAATTTTTGCTGGAATCTAATCAAACTTGAGTAAACTGGTTCGCCTATAATGAGTTCGGGGCATTGGGCTAAGGCAAACTACTCTCTTCTTTTAAGTAGTGATGAGAGATGAGTTCTACCCATTTAGGCAGAGCATAGGGAGAAGTGGTGTAATAGCTTCGCCTTTGCCAAGCAACTATGGCAAAGCTTGACCGATCCTTATTTTGTAGTGACGACATTTTGTTGGTCACATGGCTCCCTTTTCTATATGTGGGTCCAGCTCGGCATCCACATGGGACTATTTTGTGCCATGTGGAATCATGTAGTAACATTCTCTATGCATGATTTGCGAGGGATAGTTTATTTATAGCTATTAATTTCTTATAACACACAGGGACAGGAATCGTTCTATGCATAGAGAAAGCCTTGGCTCAGGCAGGTGTAGCTAGAGAAGATGTCAATTACATAAATGCTCATGCTACATCGACACCATCAGATGACTTGAAAGAATACGAGGCTATTATTTGCTGCTTTGGACAAAATACTAAGGTGACTGTCTTAAACCCAAATTCGATTAAAAGATTAGCTTTGTCATTTCTAGAGCGAATCGTGTTTGTTTCAGCTGCGAATGAACTCTACAAAATCTATGGTTGGTCACCTACTTGGGGCTGCTGGTGCTGTGGAAGCTGTCGCAACTGTTAAGGTAATTTCCCATTGAAAAAATTTCTTTGGACTCTCCTACTTGTGGAAAATTTGTTCCCAACAATAACACCTGGATTGTAGAAAGTGTTTGATAGGCTAGACTAGACATCATTAGACATGAGTAATAAAAGAAAAAAAGAAACTGATATCCTGAATCTTGTTCCAATACTGAACATGACCACAATCCACAAGTATCACTCGAAATCTTTTATGGCTATAGATTTGAAAGTATTGTCGAATTTGAGAGAGCGGTTCTCACTGAAAATGGGGCTCGTTTCTAGCACAACCACTTCTCCAGCGCTATTTTGAAGGACTACACTGCACATAACATGTTTACGCTCTTTCGCACCCTCATAACTGTTGTTTTGATTTTGTTGTTGCTGCAACTGACCTTTTATTTTTAACATAGGCTATACAAACAAGATGGATCCATCCAAATATCAATCTTGAACAACCTGATGAAGGCATGGTAAGCTATTACACTACCCACTTTGATTTGGTTACTCTGTCTTTTTAGTTTGATCACCATCCATTAACCTATTATTAAACCTCTTTTTTCTTTTCTTCTATTTATTGTTTTCGCTGCTGCAATGCAGGATACAAGTATACTTGTAGGTCCCAAGAAGGAAAAATTAGACATAAAGGTTGCACTCTCTAATTCATTTGGCTTTGGGGGACATAACTCATCCATTCTCTTTGCACCCTATGAACATGGAAACTGACATTTGCTATGGTGATCTCAATATATTGCAAGGCTCAAGGTTCACTTATTGCTTCCATTTTAGAGGATTTTTACATGTTAACTGAAAGAGATTGATTTTGTAACTTTCAACTGAATCCCCGAAAAGGGAAATTGAAATCTCACAAAATTTGTGCCAATATAAAAAATTGTTTCTTGCTGGAAATCTTAAAATTCGTGTAAAAAGTGTAATAAATATTCTTATAATAAAAAGCTACCTTCTCTATTTGGGAGTCAAAATCGATCTTAACTAGGTCTACTGACCTTTTTCCCATCACAATTTAATTCAATACCTGTAATACTCATCTTAATGCAGTCGGTCTAAAACGCAATATTAGAAAATAGGGATGCAGAATAATAACAAATGTATGTATTACTGAATTCTGTTGATGTATCAATTTGTCTCTAAAATAATATATCTTGGGCCTGCCCCTGTCTACAGCTATGCTATCTCTACTACTGCTACGGTAAAGGTCGATCGCATCCTGATCCCGTCCATTCCTTTAGTTCGCTCTCAATGGGAATTTCTTTGTATAGTAAAACAAAGTCAGTGAAAGCTTTCTTCTAGGCGCTGAGGTACGTACTGTACTACGGTTCGGNAGGTAGTTTTTGTAACAAAAAATTGTGGGTCATCTCCAAAGATGAAATGCATAGGTTAACCAGGCAACCAACACAAATGCTCTGGTGCTAAACAATACTGAACAGTGAGTATCAGTTGCACATCATGGCAGCATTACCACAACTTCTTTCTGACCCAGAAGAGAAGGAAAACAACTCCAAGTACAACAGCAACAGAGAGGCCCATTTCCTAATCAGAGCCTGCGTCCAACGATCAAAGAATGAAAAGTACAATAGGATTCGTTTCGTGTGCAGGTATCTGAGCTCATGCTATTTTCAGAAGCTGATAACAAAATGAAATAAATAAAAATTGTAAAAGTTCGCAACCAAAAATCCAAACAACCTAGTTTTAAGTAGACTGAAGAAGACTAAAAGATCCCAGATTCAAGTCCCACCAAATTACTGGAATAGTCAAATCATATATATAGGTATTTGTCCATCTTGCAAGTTTTGTTAAATTAATTGATTCATTGTAAGTTGCTTTATGATATATTCTATTCTAATAGTTGTTTACAATATGATTCACCTTTGTGAGAAAAAAAGTTGGGTTTCCCAAATAACACTAATGGANCTCTGATACCACTTGTTGGGAAAAATCGCCTCGAACGTAGGAATTGAGATTAATGACAAACTTTGAAATATTAAAGATCACAACAATTGAAACAAGATTAAAGTAAAAGAAGAAGAGAAATTGCAGAGGAATGAAGATTTTATTCTGGACAATAATAGGAGAGAATTACATGAACTTAATTAACAATATACTTTCTGCATAAGCTGCTGGGTTGCTGCCGTTAATTGAAGGAAGAAGATCTATATTTATAATACATGTCAACAACCTAGTAAACCTAGAATCCCTAGTTTCTTTCCTTGTTGAACTTGGATACTGTTTCCTACTCCAATTCAACACCTTTGAGCTGGGTTTCCTTATTTGAATTGGATTCTAATTCCTTTTTCAATTCCAATTCTTTCCAAACACAAATTCTAACCTTACTTTGAGTCACAACCCCAACAAAATGACACCCGCTTCGTGCTCTTCTTTACTGTGTATTTTCTTCTCCAATAACAAACACAAATTCTAACCTTAATTTAAGTCACAAACCCAACACTATATAAGCACCTGAACTAAGTACCAAAAAACTGATTTTAAACCTTAACCTGAATAGCCCTGTCCATAGTCACGAGAAAACTCGAGGTTTAAAACAGGTTCCAAAAGGACCATAAAGAAACATGCACTGAAGTACATCTAATACAACTAACCTGGCGGTTCAAATCTTTTGCCTTTTCTGCATATATGCGGGATTCAGAAGTCAAGCGACTTGACATCTGACTGACCCCTACCAAAGTTCACATTTAAAGAATATAAATATCAAACCTACAGGAACATAAGAATAACATAAACCTTATGAGCAAAAAGTCACAAAGAAAGCATGCACGAAGATGATATTTTATAAAGTTGAGGCAAGACAAACAAACAATAAGCACGCCATTGAAAATAAGAGAATAAAATACCCTCACAAACAGGCATTATATGTCAGAAATATAAATCATATCTAAAATCGAAACCAAATCTAGATGCAAACATCTTAGATTAAAATAATCAAAAGCCTAGGATCTACATCATGCAGAATATTAGGATTCACGGATTCGTGTTATATACGTGGATCCATTATGAACGATTGTTTACTGTTGCGGAGTTACTACGACAAGATCACGTACTAATGAACACGAATGAAGGGGTGTAGTTTGTGTCTTCCTCAACCAAATCGTCTTATTTCCTCAATGAGACCGTCGTCTCTCTTCTAGATAGGGAGAAGGGAAATTATGTATAATTTGGTATATTAGGAACCATAACCAAAGAAGTCTTTATATGTTGCTTAATTAGAGTTCCCATAATCCCCTAATTATAACAATATTGATATACTCAATTAGTTCATATTTATTAAATAGCTAATATAATTGAATTAAATATGTTGCCATTAAATAGAAAAATCATCGGTTTTCCTAACCTCCTAAATATTTAGTTGCCATTAAACAGAAAAACCGTTGGTTTTCCAAACCTCCTAAATATTTAGGAAAACTAACGATTTTCCTAACAATCTCCCACTTGACTACATATTATTCCTAAAACAATTATATTACAAATTCCTCAATTGCACATCTGTATGCTATTTATCCTTAGACTTCTCTTTAAACAATCTGGTTAATCTTATATATTAATAATGGAACCACTGCGACTTTTATCACAATACAGTTGTGATTAAAACATGATGATCACCATAATAATACACTTAATGACATAGATCAAATATGGATGAGTAGCATGGAAATTACATGAAATGTGATCTCAGACATGCCTATTTCCAACTTCTCATTCTTTATTCTTTAGTGAGATCATTCCAAAGTCCTTAATGCAACGGGAACATTGCACATAAAAAACACAAGCAGCTCAGAAACAGAATCATAAACCATCAATTTTATTCTACAGAAAATCAAACAATCTAATGTCTAGAGCAAACATATAGTACATAAAAAAATGACTCCCACTAGACTAAGGTATTCTCGGAAATATTGCCCATGTGAGTAGTGTGCTCATGATAGACCTTAGGCATTGATCTCTTGGTTAATGGGTTGGCTAGCATGGAATCTGTACCTATATGTTCAATGGAAATCTTTCTATCCTGAACTCTCTCTTTAACGACTAGAAACTTGATGTCGATAAACTTCGACTTCGTCGATTTCATGTTATTGTTGGAGTAAAGCAATGCCGAGTTATTGTCATAGTAAATCTTTAATGGTTTGTAAATGCCATTTACCACTCGCAGCCCA